GTAAGTGTCCTCGTTGGCCCTGTGTCCTCCTCGGTCGCAGGTGCCCGGGCGCTTCCTCTCGCCCCCTTCCTCTTTCTGTCCTTTCTTTCGTTTTTTTTTTTTTCTTCCATTTTAAATTTTTGTTTGTATTGTCGAAGTTCCGGGTTTTTTTCTAATCACGCTCGTTCATGTTCGTGTTTTTTCTTTCTCTTTCTCCTTTTTTCTCAGTTTTTTGTGTTTCTGTTTCTGTTTTCTCTCTCTCCTGCATTCCGCCCCCTTTTTTCTTGCCTCCCTCTTCCTCTTCCTCCTCGTGACCCGAAAGATGTAGCAGGAAGAAAGGAAGGAGGAAGAAAACCTTGACACATATTCTATTTCTTCATATATTCCCCATTCTTATTCTCGAAAATATATAAGATGATCTTTTGTTCTTCGCATTATTCCATTCTCTCTTCGATTCGTCGTTTCTCCCTTCACCTGCCACCTCCTCGCCGGCCGGTTGCCTTACCAGTGTGGACTTGTTGAGAACGGGTGAAAAATGGCGGAGAGGAGCAGGAATAGAGAAGAGGAGAAGGAGAAATAGAGTGAAATAAGTCAAGGAGGATATTACAAAAGGATGATAGAGAGAAAGAAGGAGAGAGTGGGAGGGAGACAGAAAGAGCGAGATAGAGAGAGAGGGAGGCGTGGCCATATTTGGTAGCGTGCCCCCACCTCCACTCGCTCATTCGCCTCACACACTCGCACGCAGATGGCCCATCCTGCTCGCAATTGCTCCTTAACTCGTGATGTTTCCCCTCTCTCTACTCGCTGTCTGCTCAGAGGGCTCGGGCAGCTCCCCACCCCCCATGCCCGGTTTTCGGAAATGTGTCTGCCTCGCGAAAACAACCGGCAGATGGGGGTTTCTTAAGGCGACGAGCACTCGGCATCCCACAGGGCCTGGGTGGGGAGTGGGGGGGAGGGGCTGGGTCGACGGGAAGGGGGGGTGGGGTATGGGAAGGGTGGGGAATGGGGCAAGAGGGAGGAGGGAGGTTTAGGGAAGGAGGTGTAGGAAGGGGGAGGTTAAAGGGAGGGGTAGGCCCTAGGGGGAGGGTCAAGGGGTGAGATGGGGGAGGGGAATGGCGAGGGGAGGGCCACGAGAAGAGAGGAGGGGAAGGAGGGGAGGGGGACGTGGAGGAAGGGAGAGGAGGGGAAGGAGGGGAGGGGGACGTGGAGGAAGGGAGAGGAGGGGGGGAGAGGGAGTGTTGGGGCGTTTTGACTTACGAGTTCGATGGCGGAAAACAGGGCTTAGTTTATGAAATGTTAGGAAGGGGTTTGCCTCGTGTAGTGTGTGCTGACGGTTATGAGCTGCAATACCGGGTGAATTAATTGGTGTATATAAACAGTTAGAGTAAATAAACGGTTGGGAAATGGATGCATGAACTGAGGAATGGAGGGAGAGAAAGGGACGTATAGGGAAGCAGAGAAGAATATAGAAAGATCCCAAATGGAAATGAAAAGGGGAGATTAAAGGAAACTGGGAGGCGGAAATAGAGAAATATGGAAAGAATGAGAGAGAGAGAGAGAGAGAGAGAGAGAGACAGACAGACAGACAGAGAGACAGACAGACAGACAGACAGACAGACAGACAGACAGACAGACAGACAGACAAACGGACAGAAAGACAGGAAGAGAAAGAGAGAACGAGAGACAGACAGAGAGCGACACAGAGAGAGAGAGAGCGAGCGAGGGCATGCGGGGGTTGGGTCGGCAGCGCGTGTGGGGGGGAGGGGGGGAGAGGGCATCAGAGGCAGCAGCAGCGGCAGCAGCACCTCGCCCGCCTTGCACCGGGCAACCAAGGGCGCCACAAGGTGAAAGTTACAACAGCCTCCCTTCCATCTCCTCCCCCCTCTCCCCCTGCCCTCGCCCCCCCCCCCATTTCAGGCTGGGGAGGTTGTTTCGATCTCGGGGGTCCCTTGTGAGTGCTTGAACTGGTGTCTGATTGCGTGCTTGCTTGGCTCTCTTTCTGTCTGTCTGTCTGTCTGTCTGTCTGTGTCTACTTTCTTTTCTTAACTTTTTAATTGGTTTGTTTGTCTGGCTTGCTTTCTCTCTCTTTTGGCCTCTCTCTACCTTTCTCTGTTGCCCTCCCTATTCTTAATATCTCTCCATCTCCCTTTATCCCCCCCTTTCTCTCTCTTTCTCTCTCTTTCTATCCTTTTTTTTATTACCTTCCATCCATATTTCACTCTCTAATACCCAAACCGGGTGACCTTAATGCGAGCTGGCAACCCCTTGTTCCGATGCCCTTAAATGTGGACGTCACCTCGACCTCCCGCCCATACACGCTCATGGAAGAGGAGGGGGAGGAGGAGGCGAAGGGAGGACAAGGTGTGGGAAGAGGAGGTGAAGGGAGGACAGGGAGGGGGAAGAGGAGGCGAAAGGAGGACAGGGAGGGGGAAGAGGAGGCGAAGGGAGGACAGGGTGGAGGAAGAGGAGGTGAAGGGAGGACAGGGTGGAGGAAGAGGAGGCGAAGGGAGGACAAGGTGGA